AGGCCCCAAAGAGAGAGTAGTGGTCCCCTCTATCTGCAGGGACCTCAGCCAGGGACACGCTCCTGCTGGAGAAAAGCAGCTGCTTGTGAGTTTCTTGGCTCAAGCTGGGCTCCCTATTGTAATGAGTGGGAAGAGGGGCTGCAGCTTCCATTCAGCCTGGTGTGCACAAGGCACTTGGTTGCCACGGAACCAGGAGCTAGGCTATTTCTCTCTGACTGCCACACCCCTATCCAATATGGTGGTTCTCCAGTGTGTGTGGGGAGGTAGGGGGGTGGACATGCTCACAGATTCCCATTCCTCAGCATCCCACCACATTCTCCTATGGGGTATGTTTGCTAGGGCTTCCTCGCCATGTGAAGGGTGAGGTCTGAGACCTCTCCCCTTTGTCTCCCTGCACCGTTCTAGTGTACAGGGTGTTGGGACTGGCCTGCCTATGTGAGCCACTAGCCTGTGATCTCACAAAATGCCAGTGTCAGGTCCATCCCAAATTGTGGCTGGCTCTGCTCTTTGTGGTGAGCTCAGCCTGGGGTGCGCACCTACTCTAAAGAAGCAGTTGTTCGTGAGCTTCTCCATTCAAGCTACTCTCACGGTTGCAATGGGTCGGGAAGCGGCTGCAGCTCCCAGTTGGCCTTTTGTGGCACTCTCCCATGGGGTGCCTCTTACAGATACCCAAACTCTTGGGGCTTGCTGGTTCACTCATTGTTCCTAATTAGCTGCCATGCCTGGGCTCCTGGAGGGTAGAAAAAGCTTAAATATTCTTTGTGTCCCACTGTCCACCTGAGGCACGTAAGTTGGGGAAGAGAAACCCCCCTTACCCTTTTGCTGGGCTCCGCATCTCTCTGGGTTTGATCTATTCTGCTATCTTCTCCTCTCTATCCTCCTCTTTCTTAGCTTTGCAGTTTTTCTCTGTTGGGTCCCCCAGGTCATCTCTCTCATATCTCTCTGTGATCCACACCTGAGGTGCAACTCTTCTGTGCTCTCCTCAGTCCAGTATCGTACATTCCAGCTAGGATGGTCCAACAAACAATGTCTCTCTCTAGTTGGCCATCTTGGCTGTACCTCTGAGTTGTTTTTTTTTTTTTTTTGAGACAGAGTCTCACTCTGTTGCCCGGGCTAGAGTGCCGTGGCGTCATCATCGCTCACAGCAACCTCAAACTCCTGGGCTCAAGCGATCCT